AATAATAATATTTTTTTTTTGCATCCACGTCAGAAAAAAAATTTTTTTCTTCTTCCCCTTTCACTTTCTCTCCTTCACCTTTCCTTTCCCTTTCTTCTGCAAACCCAGATCTGGAGTGGACGCTCGATAAACCCAGATCTGTTTGCAACGCCCGAATCAAGGAGGAAGTCCTTAGATTATACTCTGCAAACTCCGAATCTTGTACCAAAGCTCGTGCCTTCTTCTTCATCGCTAGAAGTCCTTTCCGATGATGCTATTTTGTCGAATCATTGTTCGAGAAAACCCAAAGAAAGACCCAGAGCTCGTGCCTTCTTCTTCGTCGTCAAAAGTCCTTTCCGATGATGCTATTTTGTCGAATCGCTGTTCGAGAAAACCCAGGGAAAGACCCAAAGCTTGTGCCTTCTTCTTCGTCACTGGAAGTCCTTTCCTTTTCACTTTTGCAAACCCAGATCTGGGTCTTCCTCTATCAAACCCAGATCTGGGTCTTCCTCTATCAAACCCAGATCTGGGTCTTCCTCTATCAAACCCAGATCCATCTACAACACAAGAATCAAGGATTAGATTTTGCTCTACAAACTCCGAATCTTGTTGTATATAGCCTGTTTGTATATAGCCTCCATCGCCTCCGATAAAACCCGTCTTCATCAATTCCACCAGCTGGTTGTATATAGCCTGTTTGTACTTTCCGCAGCTCGGGCTCCGTTTCTTAACTATCTCTCCACAGCTCACATTCTGGTACGGAACAATCATCTCTTGACCACTCGATTTATAAATCCACAACTCCACCGGCATCACGAAATCCTGACTCCCGTTCCAATTCTCCATCAACGGCGACGATTGACTCTCCAACTTCTTACCCTCCAAATCAAACCCCCAGGCAAAAGCCAGCTCCAAAACCGAAGGACATCCGGAGAACCCCTCAACCGGAGTCCGCTCATGCGCGGAAGACACAGAACAGCTCCCGTGCGCATCCCAATCACACTCCTGACACAGAACCAAATTATCCGTCACGCACCGAACCGCAACCGGCTCAGAACTGCAGTTATCGCAGATCTGAGACCGCAAGTGCTTCCGCGAAAGCAGGTTCGCGGAGTGCACATGCTGGTCGCAGAACAAACAGAGCTTCGCCGAGTCAGCCCTACAGAAGAGAACCGCAATCTGGTCCTTACAGAAAATTTTGTTTATCGAGCGTCCACTCCAGATCTGGGTTTGCAGAAGAAAGGGGAAGGAAAGGTGAAGGAGAGAGAGTAAAAGGGGAAGAAGAAAATTTTTTTTTTCTGAGGCGTGGATGCAAAAAAAAAAAAAATTATTATTGTTAAATTAAATAAAAATGCCAACTCAGAAAAAAAATAGTTAACTATGTTTTTTTTTTCCATGTCATTGATTAAGAAAAAAAAAGAATTGATTTGTTGGCATTTTAACGTGCCACCTGGTGTTTAACTGACGGAAGGACCATTTTGGTACCAAAAATGAAAGTTTAAGGATAATTTTGGTACTTTTTAAAGTTAAGGGACAATTTTGGTACTAAAGTGATAAGTTGAGGGACCAAAATGGTACTTAAACCATTTTATTTTGAAATATTGATCTAAGTTTATGTGGACTTGTTAGTAATGAATTTAGCAAGTTTCAAGCCTTGTGCATTTGTGGGAATCTCTCACAAGTGTACGTCGTCTGTTTCACTCTTGGTTTTGGGGCGTGAAAAAAATGAATAAGAATATTTTTCCTGCAATGGTGTTGGATCCTAGTCAAAAAATGGGATATTTAAATTGCCTTCTTGGGGATTTGTATCCAAAGC